TAGTCACTCGGTGTCGTCTCAGTAGTCGCCATCGCTCGCCACCACACCCTAGGCGACTCGAACAAACACAGAGCCGCTGTCGCTCCACCTCGAAGGGGTTGCCCTCGGCAACATTTCGACATCCTGGTTTTAGCATCAGCCTCGATTCCACACGATATCGGCCATGCCATTCGAGGATCCCAACAGCTTCTTGTTCGGGCTGAATCAGTTCGCCAGTCCCCCTGGCAATTCTCCGAACGCAGGAGGCGCTGGTTCATCCGCCCTGAACAGCCGACATGACTCGTTGCTCACGGGTCTGGAATCTTTCGGCGAATCTGCGCCCGGCGCCAATGGAGACGATGGTCTGCTCGGGCAAGGCACCTTTGCAGATCAGCTGGCTCTGTGGACCAATGCCAACTTCAGTTTCGATGGTCCGACAGGTCACGCCTTGCTTGCCGATGATGACAAGGACAAGGACAAAGATGGCGATCTCGACGCCGGTCGGGAGGCCGACGAAGCTGATCGCAAGCGTGCTCAGGCTCGTGCCGAGAACCGCGAGACGGAAGCTGCTCTCTTTCAGCGTCAAAGAGAGGCGAACGAGAGGCGTGCTGAAGAAGAGCGTCATCAGCAACATAATCCACAGCAGATCAATGGCACTCACGACCAGCATCGCGCCAGCCAGCCAAACACAGCCCCTCCGACGCCATTGATCACCCAGCAGCAGACTTACTTCGGCGGCTCGTTGGGTGCTGCCGCACCCAGTCATCAACAGCACGCTAGGAGACCTTCAGAGCTTCATGCGCACAACGCTCCGAGCCCTAGCATCTCTCAGGCCCAGTTCGCAGCCCAGCTGCAAGCACAACTTCAGCACCCTTTTCCAGTCAACAATCCATTCTGGAATGGTGCCGGCAGCACTTCGAATCCGTTGCAAGCCCTGCTGTACCAACAGCAGCCTCAGCACCTTTCGCAGCTACAGGGTCAGATGGGACAACCTCAAGGCAGGCCATCTCAGCCGCAGCCACCCCTGCCTGCCAACATCGACCTTAATACGCTGCTCGCTCTCCAGCAAGCACTGAGCTCCATCAATGGTGGCAGCGGCCAACCTGCATCAGCTCAGGTCACCACTCTACTCGGCCAGCTCAGCAATCCCCAAGTTCAGGCAGCATTGTCCCAGCTGCAACAACCGCAGCACCAGCACCACGAGAACGGCCATTTCTCGCGAAACGGCTCGCTGAACATTGATACTTCGCATGCTCCGAATGGTATTTCGAACCCTTTCCCGCCTATTCCTGGCTGGCAGCCAAGCGGAAACGGCGTTGGGACACCGCATGCTCCAGAGTTCCCTGCTATGCCAAATGGTGCAGGCCATGGCCCCGGTCCTCTTGGTGCAGTCGGTCGACAGTCATCATTTCACGGTCGACACACCGACAACGCTCACGGCTCTGCCGACGAAGGCTCCAACGGGCCTGGCGACGGAGAACGTCAAGCGATCTCGAGAAAGAAGAAGGCCCGCACTAGCCCGGACAGCGGACAGGGCGATAGCTCCGACAATGCTCGCGAGCAAGCTGACAGCTCCGCGGACGCTGATGCTCGTGCCGCTGAGAGAGACGATATTCCTCCGTTGCAGCTCATCGACACTGGCAATCCTGAAGCTGATGCCGAGGCGAACAGGCTCGCCATTGAGGAA